TAAAATAAATATATAAATGAATATAACGTATTCAAAGTTATTAATCATTTCTACAATTTTAAGTGAACTATGTATTTTTGTAACGATTAAACGAAGTTTTCCTCGAACTTTCTTTTGAACCTGGGTGATTGTGAGTACTCTCATTGTTTGAGATATCGATAAGAGGGGTATTGTGATTGATAGAATGTAACATATTTAGTTATCAATGTGACGCTCATGTGTCAGTTTGTGCTCATTTTTAGGCGTTTTTAACCTATCCGAACTCAGCGACAGAACGTTATTACTTTCGTTATTATTTTTTTTGTAGGTATACTTGGCAACGTCGAATGATGTAAAATTTAAATATCAGGGCATTTCCTGACTAGATTATCTTTGCAAGACGATATGACGAAGACTAGACGTCATAACCAAACAGAGACGTAACTTATAAAGACGGTCTTGTCTCCTTTTTAGAAGAATCGACGTCGCCGATCTTTCACCGCCTTTTGTCATTCATGCACCTTGCAATTCATGATATTCATAAACAATAGGTTAAGCATCTTTTGCACTTGAATTCTAAATAAGATAATTAAATTCTAAAATATTTTCTAAACACGAGTACATTAATTTGTGGCCAAGAGATAATGCAGTGTGTTTTATTTTTTATTTGTAAACGTTAGTTTGTTAATATATTGTCTATTACTGATATTCTTTGTTTTCCAATTTTCAATGAAACATTCTTATAGAAAAAGTTATATAAACTGGGAAAAACGTAAAAAAATTAAATTAATATTTTTGTATAAAATCATAAGAATACCTAAAGCATTGTCATGTAAATGTTATCATACACAGTAAGTTTCAAATTGCTTGAATTTTAATAATTATATGCAGTCATTGTGAATGCAAAATGGATAAAATATAATAATATGGTGTACTAATATTATATTTAGGATTATACTTGACAAAATGCTGTTAATTTTATAAAAATCCAATACATATATCATTTACTATGTCTAAAGATCACACCTTAGTCAAAAATATCAATACTTATCCTACTAATAATTATAAATCCGAAAATATGTTTGTTTTTATTTCAGTTTTAAGATCTTTGAAAGAGGTGATGAATAAATAACAGATGAAAATCTTGTATCAATTTATTAGAATAAGCATGATACTAGGCCAAATGAGTTAGGTTAGTGTCTTGATTGGCTTACGTTAACGATACATATTCCTCGTAGGGTTAAAGCGATATAAGTATAAACTGAAAATGTCATCTGAAATCTTTTATGGGGGTTTGTGGATCCAAGAGTTTGACAAATCCTGCTCTAGCACACCGGAGCCATTCCTTAGCCCTCATGCCTCATTTACACTGGTCGATGTAGGCAGCACGCAGAGTGCGGACCACCTCTATGTGGTCACCTCGTTTGTAAATAAATTAATGATCAACCCATGAAAGCGAGAAACAGAAATCGCACGCGGATTCATTGACCAGTGTTAATACTTTGTTATAGTCGAGCAGTGAAGGGTGACCAATTAGAACACTCAAAAAAGATCTATATCTTTTATGTCGCGATCCCATGATCAAAACCATTGTACGATTGTTATTAAGTATTACTCGCACTCATGATTCATGGGCTATAACCGTGAAACTATGATATCTAGCGACTTCCACACCCCGTCCGTATCCGCAAGACCTGCTACGTGCCGGCCGTACACAAATTCACATGTACGAACGGTAACATCGCAAATTTACCTACACGTGAAACGTGTTCGATGTTTGGCACTGTAGGGTCTACCAACTCCTGAGGATGCCCGGTGGAAGGGCGAAAGAAGTGATTTTGTGAGATTTTTGCGGTTTTTACTTGTGAATTTGTGCGCGGCCGGTACACCGCAAGTTTAGTGTATACTGACTAAGTGTGGAAGTTGCTAGGTATCTTAGTTTCGCGGTTATATTAATGGACTGCAAATTAACGCCTGATTTTAATAAATGATACATGAGCTTCAATAAGAACATTCTAAAATTATTTGTATGTACAATATCTTCGTACGATGAAAGTGATCGTGCGATGGTTTAATTGTTTTTCTAATAAATCGCATGATTCTACCGAGTAACTGAAGCCTTGAATGCACTGTAAAATCACGAGCAATTCTTTATTGGTTTGCTCACGGTTGATCTGTCAGGGTAATAGAATGATCCAGGGCTTCATTTTGACAAATCAGTCGAGGCATCAGTTACGCCGTAGCCACTGGTTATTGGCTTGAGCTCATCGGTGGTACAGCTCTTTCTTCGCGATACAGTCCCATGATAACGGGTAAAAAAATAAGGAATTAACTCTACTCATATGATCGTAGCCAATTAGGACGACTAATATATGGCTCTTTTGTAATATTACAAATTAATCGGAAACACTTGAAGTCTCTTCTGACGGAACCGGTTGCATTTCGTTCTCATTCGATTGTTGTTCTCTATACAGCTGACGCTTCCGAAACAACTTCGCTTCGTCGGTACATTTGATTGTGATGCAATTTCTGTAAATCAACAAAAAGAAAATTATTGCTATAATTAAAGAAAACACAAAATACATAACACGAAACATACCTATATTGTTACATCTATCACTGAAATTCCTCAAGTATTTATTGTACTTAATTTCAATAAATTCTCATTAAGTACAACAATGTTAAATGTTATAATTATGATACCTACTGCACACGGAGTTCGAAGACCGGTTTCTCAATATAGCTATAGTACTAAAATGTGAATGAAAATTCAATTTTCAAAGTTAATATTTAAAAAAATAATGTGTACTGATAACAATATTTTCCTGTATTATAACACTATTATTTCAATGTAAGAATAATAATAATATTTATTTATTTGCGAAAATATGGTTACAAGGTAGTTTTACAATTTTAGACCAGCATATTTTATCGTCAAGACGATGTGCAAATATTAAAGTCAATATACCATAAATTGTCTGATTTTGTAAGAAAAAAAAATGACAAAAAATTAAATTACATAAAAAAAATCAAATATCAAATCATAGTCATAAGATACAATAGGTTCATATTATAATCAAAGCATTCATATAATAAACAGGATTTGAATGTAATAACATTATCAATAATTTTAATATTATTCGGTAATTTATTATAAATGCGTATACTCATACAATATGAGTTCTTCGAATTCACAACAAGTCTTTGAGTTGGAATACATAGATTTGTACTCTTCCTACCTCTATGTGCAAATCTTTATTTTGTTTAAATAAATGGAAATGTTTTTTAACAAATATCCCCATTTCCAAAATATATAAACATGGAAATGGTAATACATTTAATGATTTAAACAGAGGCTTACATGAGTCCAAGTAGCCTGCACCACAGACTGACCGTATGCATTATTTTTGTATTTTAAAAGCACGAATTGCATCGACCGAATTACCCCATATCACTATACCATATCGCAACATAGGTGAGACGTAACTATGATATGCTATTAGAGCGGATTATTATCATTTAAATATTACTTGGTAATGGTTTGCTTTAAGGTTCAATGTAAGATTTCAGTATACAAACACTGATGTTGCAGCGCGAATGTTTTTGTTTCTTATTGCTCAAATAGTCATAGATTACCAGCATGTGGTCCAGACAAATAAAAACGTTTTCCTCGATCAAATTTTTGACATGGATATCGAAAACATTTTTAAATACCTCTTTTTGTAAAATGCTATTTCAATTTAATGTTATTGAATTGTGTGTTTCAAGAGTGCATTATATTAATACAAGTTGCTTTTCCGCGATTTCATCCTCGTAAATTATAACCATCACTCACGTATGATGGAGCTTTAAATATGTGAAAGAATTTGTGAAATCTTCCAATTGTTTCAGTGCTTGCTTATTCAATGGACACAAACAAATAATCAAATCTTTCCTCTTTATAATATAAATACCATGAAATCAACGAACCTTACTAGGCGCTTGGGTACACCACAGTTTGAAGATACTGTTAAAACGATGTCCTCCACCAATTTGGGATCTAAACATTTCTTCGCTGGCTTATTAGTAAATGCTGGGGATTGCTTTCCTGTCAGCGAATGAGTGGCCAACACTCTGCAATAATAAAATTGGTTCATATATAGTCAGTTGCACAAACTTCCATTAAATTTTTCATTAGTTAAAAGCGACATTACCCATAGAAATTTGACATTACTTATAGCTTAAAGGCGTCATTTAACCTTAATGAGCGTTTGTGCAAGTGTCCGCTAGTCATTTAAACATTTGTAATAGTCTGTCATTTTTTTATAAGTTATAATGGTTTGTCTCATTCAGTCATAAATATCCTATTATAAACAATGTCATCAACATCATCAGTCTATTCAGGCTTCCCCTATTAAGAGAACCACAATGAATGAGTAATGATCCATCATAGAACCAGATGTGTTTCAAGATCTTATTTTATACTCTACAATATTTTATAAGGCATTCTAATGGAGCTAAGAGGTATTAAAGAACAAAAAATAATCACCAAACATTTAAGAACAAAAGTCATTACTTAGTAGGCAATAAGCAAAAACCATTTACGGTTTGCATAATTTAATTTTGCAAACTTTTTCTTACTTACTTTGCCTTTGCATACAACTAAGTAAGAATTAACTAGTGCTTATAACTAGATATGTTGCCAGGACCAACGGGGTAAAGTATCTCAGAAGAACAGAGAAGAGAGAGCGAGCAGAGTAGAAAAAAATATGAAATACGTGTTATACTCGTAAAATATCAAATAAAGGTTGAACTACCACCAACAGAACAATAAGCCGTAAACGTTTCATAAACAATATAATAACCTGCGTGAAAATATCGCTTGTAATAACTGCCTAGTAGCAGTAGTGTAGGAAGTCCAATTAATTTCCTTTAATAACCTCTTTGGCACCCAAGCATAACCACTACCAATCGGAACCTGCAGAGAACAAAATATACTTAGTTGTCTTAATAATTTATATCTAAACTATTCTTCATTAAAATCATTTGAAGTTTTTATCTACCATTTCTTGTTTACCATTGTCAGGTGTTGTACTAGTAGCAGTAGTAGAAGTAGTAATAGCATGAGAATTGTCAGCAACTTCTGTTTGCTCATCGCTCACGGTCTGTGATGTTGTTGTGGCATCCGTGATATTCCCTGGTGAACTAACTTCACTATTAACAACGTCTTGAAACGTGCTTGAATCATTCACCACTGTTGCATCATTCTGAACAGATTCTTCTACATCAGTATCATAGCCTAACGCTTGATTTAAATCAGGATAATTAGCAATTATATCTCTTATACCTGCTACTTCTCCAAATATTCCAATAAAATTTCTATATATTTGTTTTAATAATATTTTTCCTTCAGTGTGTAATAAATGGTTGGGTTGATCTCCCGCCGTTATTTCTGAATCTGTCTGAGTGTTCTTATCTTTTTTTGGTTTCACATTACATACTGGTTGATGAAATCTATTAGAGCTGACATTTTGACTTGGTGTAGATGCAAGGCGTCTTATCTGACTCGTATCGTTGTCTAAGTACCTATGATCAATGTAGCGAATTGCACTATCCTGAAATAAAAGAAAATAAATTATGAAAATTTACACAAGTTAATACACAAGTCTCAAAGTATCGTTGTACCTAATCAATGTAAATCAGAAATATGTTTGGTGAACCTTGTTCAATTGAAATTATTCATTCAAACAAAATTAACCAAGTTATAGTATTATTACTTTTACAAATATTTATTGTTCTAGCTTATAGATAAAGCAATAATTACCGCTCCATTGATTGGAATGGCTAAATCATTAAAACTTGAACTCTGTGTTTCAGGTCTGACCGTCGCGTAATTCTAGAAAAAAAAAATAGGAAATAGATCCAATATATCCATTATGGACCAAGTGATTAATTGGAAATTATAAAATATCTCCGCGCAGTTAGTAAGTGCCAAATATAAGAGAGTAATGTGATAAATACTATAGAAATAATCAAATTGACCGGGCATTATTTATAATGCACCCATGTGGTAGAACAATTTAAACGAAGTTTTATTATGTAAGGTATTATTTTTATTTAAATCGGTAAAGTAATATCAATTCGGTGCTTACGTGCTATGCTTGTATATTTTTTAGATAGGAAAGAGATATAACTTTCCAAAAATATCAAAACTCGGCGCATATCAGTTATTGTGATATAAAAATACACAATTAATTATTTTTTTTTAAATTTTTATTTTAATTAATATAAAAATTAATTTTTACTATTGTTTTTGTTTTATAACACTATCGCATACCACATATATTGCCCAAACCACATAAATAAGGAACCTCGAATTAATGATTATTGCTTCTTTTAAGCAGCTTGTTATTTATTCATAATGTACGGTTTATAACATATCCATTTCTAAATAAACTAACAAAAAACACAGTACACCCTTTTTGGGCAGTCATAAAAAAATGGATATGCCGTTTTAAAAATTATATGGATCAATAATTAAGTTCAAATGTTTTTAGTTACTTACTGGTTGCTCGGATTCACTATGAGGATATTCCAATAGGTAGTTTCGAAAACCGTTTGTTTGATCTTCCAGGAGAGATTTCAGCTCCAATAGCTTTTGTTTTACATCTGAAATTGTGTTATTGATTTGTTAGTACTAATAGTTACTGGTATATTATAATAATTTGAGTGTAATAGTCAGTGGCATAACTATACCGTTTGAGGCCCATGGCAAATTCATCGGATATTCATTTTTTTTACTATTTGCGTAATAATAAATGTCAGGAGTAAGTAGTCTCCTCTGACCGGGGGAACCTTCCAGTTACGCCACTGATAATATATTAGGTAAGTCCAAACTGTCGAATTAATTGATTTTTAATAAAATTTAACAATTGAACTACTTATAAAATTTTCTAATAACGTATTTATCAATTTAAATTCTTTTACATACGAAAGAAAGATTTACATAGATGAATTGTCAGAAAAGTTTCTTATTCACACCGAAGGACTCATTTTCTTACTGCAAATTAAATTGAAGACTTCTTTCAATACAAGGATGATGATAATAGCATAATAATGTATTTTAGGTCATATAAATTATCAAAATTAGTATTCTTTTATGTTTTAATAAAACACATTTACAGAATAACCCTGACTTACTTAGTTTTAACTTAAAGAAACATCAACGCGCTCGTTTGGATAGCAAAAAAACAAATAGCGTGTATCAAGTAGAACAAATGTGTTGTATTGTATTTGATAAAGAGGTTTTTAATGAATTATCTTATGCTACCTTCCAATTTTTTTGTGTATTTATATCATCTTTAGAACCACTTTTCTTTAAAAAATCTGTTTTTGAGAATGATATAACATACATCACAAATTATTTTTTTCCAAACATACTATATATTTTTTTCATTAAACACAATATTTATTTTTCTGTGATCTACATAATGTGTGCATAGAGTAAGTAGTTACCGTTGTATAGAAGGTATTTTATCATTTTATTTATCGAAGATCAAAATGATTTTAAATAGCCTATGAGACTTATGTTGGTATGTTTCATAAAAAAACACATACATATTGACCTAATAAATATCAAAAAGGTTAAATTTAGTATTAAAAAAAATAAGTAATAGGTAATACTCACAAGAAACCCTCAAAACACAGCACAAGCGGGGAGTTTGTTCACGTCTTTTCAACATCAATATAATATTTCCTACTTTTAAATTGACATCACGATATTTCTCCGGAATAACACTCACTATATCATATTGCGGTATATGATTATTCGTCTTAGTCCATTCCACTAACAAATAAAGATGAGGCATGGTGATAAAATGAAAAATATTAAATTCACAGTTACACTTAGCTCTAGCAAAATACCAAATGCAGTGATTTTTGCCCCAAGTAAGAACACAGGTAAAAACTTTTGTTCAATGGATACAGAGAACTTACGCATAGTGTAGTGGTTGTGTCAGAAATGCATTTTTGTAATATACCAACTATGTATACTATTATTTTAATAACTTATAATTTTTTTAAATCTATCGTTGATTTAAACAGTAGAAGTCTAAAAAAATTAAACCATCTAATTTTAAATGTTTGAATTTTTTACAACCTCCGTAGCCGAGTGGTTCGCACGCCGGTTTCAAGGTGTCGCCATCTCTGAGGTCCCGGGTTCGATTCCCGGTCGGGTCAATGTAGAAAATTAACTTTTCTATATTGATTCGGGTCTGGGTGTTGTGGTACCTTCGTTGTCTCAGATACTCCATAATACGGGGGCTTTAGCTACTCATCTTGGAATCTGAGCAATGTATATGATGTTGTTAAAAATATTTATATTTTATATAAGACTTTTCGCCAGATACATTTTACTTTTTACCAATAGTCGTTACTATTTCATTAAACTTTGCTATTATGAAGTCTATTTCAATTTCAAAAATATAACATTAATGTGCAACTGCAAACCATATCTACATATATCTTTTATTCAGTTTCAGCTTCGACAACCACTTGCAAAAAAAATAACAAAACATAACTTATTGATAAACTAACGTAATATTCAGTAAACATATGAATATGAATTTCAAATCCATAAGACTCACCCGTTCACGAACATGACGCACGAGGTAGTTTTTGGCCAACCACACTGATAATGTAACAATCCGACTTATAAATTATATTAAAAATATTAGATATTATATATGATTATATCTTCTAATATTATTAGAAGATATTATATTAAAAATCTCTTTAAATATATTTTCAAGAGAATATCGCATACTTTATTTTTAAAGTCCGTTTATTACGACACTAGCAGTTATAAAAAAGTTGGCATACTGGAATAAATTGTCTATGAATTTTCTGACAACAATTGAACCCACGAATAAAACTGAATAGTTTAGCTTTTTTTGCGTTAGGTTATGGCGGCAGATGGTGAATACTGTTTTAAGACCCAATAGGAAAAGAGAACTTTCGAATATTTTAGGGCGAAAATATTCGAGATTTCTCTTTTCCAACTAAAGTAATGCAAACAGCAAAATTGATAGCATTTATAGATATTAAAAATACATTTGTAGATCAATGCCTGCTTTACACATTTTACACATATTAAGTAGATAAGTAGGTAACTTAATTTTTAGTGATCAATTACAATTAAAATTAAGGTTCGAACTACAATATATAGATATACAAATAGCCAACCCCGGTGTCCAAAAATGTTTAACTACCGGCGTGTTGCGATTACCTATAGGTAGCTTTAATAAATGAAACGATAAAATTTGAATCTTCTATTTAATAAAGTTATACATTTTTCTGTAACTGGATATTTATAGTCATAAGTAATACATTTAACAATTTTGTTACTTTTTAAATTTCTACCTACCTACATTTTATATTATATTAGTGCTTTAGATAGTTTTAAATTGTCATAATATTCTAATTATAATTGTTATTTTACAATTGAATATTGATAATTAAATGAAAAAAGAATTAAAAGTATTACAACAATATTCTTCACAACATAACATAAATAAAAAATGGTAAACATTTTCAATGTCAAAATCACTAACAGTAAACCATCAATATTACAATAATTTTCGTTAATTATAATAATTTTAACTATACAAATTTTAATTAATTAAAATTATACAAACAAAAATATTTAAACAAAATAATTCGTAAATTATTCGTAATAATATCATAGTGCCGTTGATAATTTATATACGGTCGTTATCAAATCTTTGTTAGCTTCATATATTCCCATGATGTCAGCGAGACAACCATTACATTGACGAAGTTGGAAAATCAAAGCATCAATTTCTTCCGGTTTAACGGATCGTATGAATTCAAATAAACGGACAAAAGCCTCCTGATCAACTCTAGGTACGGCATGCGTTGGTGATTGATAAATTGGACAGATGGCATTCGAAGTACTTGTCGACTGCGCAATATACATAAGGTCATCAATGATATCAACGCTGGGTTCTTGAGGCTTGTAAGAAATTGGAGGGCTTGGTAAAAGATGCTCAGAAATAATACAATCACATTCATCATGACCAAATCTTTTGCATCGAACGCAGACAGTAGTGTTGAGAACTTCTACGGACACATTTATACCCAGTAGAGTGCGGACTTGAAATATAGTTAAACCCTCAGGTGTGTTATCAACTATTACCAACACAATGTCCAACGGATTTTGGTCAAATCTCAAGAGGCGATGCACCTCGTTAACACGGACACCCTGTTTAATGAAATCTCTGTGAATCGTATCAAGTTCTATGTCTATAGGTACCCCACGAATTAATACACGGTGGTGAAGAAGCCCTTGGTCTATTGTGTAGGCCTTAAACCGTATATTGGCATGTCTCAGGGATGATGACAAACGAAGAAAGTCATTTACTGTTTGAACGGATACGTCTAAACCACTTAAGCACACTTTAATGCGTTTGATATTCAAAAAGTTATCGTTGAGAATTCCGTTGAGGCAATTCCAAAAACCTACATTGAGAATGTAAATATGTGGCGGCCATACCGTTTTATTTCTTCCTTCCACATCCATGTCTTTGATCTAGTGCTGATTTTAGTCGAGTAAACGTTGAATGTATAATTCACAACGGTTTCGATCGTCTTTAAGAATTTGATCAACGATTGTTTATTAAATGAAGATTGCTATGACACTTTAACAAACACAGAAATCTGAAGCGTCGAGTGAGGTTAACGTTGACGAGAATTATGAAATACTGCTTGTAATTTATGGAAACTGTATCTTTAATCGCAACGAGGTGCTCTTTAAGACATCTACCCTCGTTTTATGAAATAGATAAATTACATACCCTTACTTTTATTATTATATATTACTATCATATTAAACAAAGAACAATACGATATTAGAGACAATATCTACTTCGTTAAGGTTAAAAAAATGGATGAAATAGACTTTTAGATTATTGCCTTTAGATTAATACAAATATTATCGAATATGAAATGAATACCTATCGAGTACGAGACTATTCTTTATAACGCCATCTACTTCTTTAAAAAGTACTTCGATTTGAAACAGTTGCGCAAATGTCCATTAAGGTTTAATGACGTCTATAAGCTTGTAATGCTCATTAAAGAAAATACACTTTATCATTGATAAAATCAGTAAAAAAATATACAATATACTGAAAAGTTAGTATTTCGGACTGTTGGGGTATGATCACCTAACTCACAAGCTGTCATTCTAGCTAGTTATAGTATATGACTACTTTTTACACGACTTCCGATCTTTCCGATCCGAACTCGATTGTGTTTAGAGTTAATGTATGTAACTATGTATGTAATTATTTTTAGCAGGTAAAATTGGAGACATTAAAGCTTGAATATTATGATGAATACAAGCAACAGGGATGATAACTAATTTTTGACGGTCTATCCGTCTGTTATTAAAAAACACTTAAATATTGGGTTGGCACAAAAGTAATGAGACACACTAGAAAAATCTATAACATTTCCTTTTTAAAATCAATTTTTTCGATAATATTCTAGAATGTTGTAGAACATTCTAGGTACTTCTGGTGTAGGGTATATAAAGCCGCGCTCGCGATTTGTTTAGTCTGAAGAAAAATGGACGAGCGACAAGTTCGAACACTATACTTATACGAGTACTTGTTAGGCCACAGTGCGCGGGCTGCGGCTGACAATATCAACAATGCATTAGGCGCTGGAAGTACAAGCCATGCGACGGTGTCCCGATGGTTTGACCGTTTTAAATCAGGAGACAGGAGCCTTGAAAGTCAGCCACGCTCAGGGCGACCACCCGCAGTGAATGATGACGATTTGCGCCGCGAACTGCAGTTGAATCCGGATGCTACCACTCGTGAATTAGCGGAAGCACTTAAATGCAGTCACCACGCCGTGGAACACCATCTGCATGAGCTTAGTTATCGAAAAGTTTTGGCTCGGTGGGTACCGCACATCCTTACAGGCGCCAGTCGTGCAGTCCGTGTCGCTATCTGTCAGTCACTTTTGCTGCGACCCCGACGTAAAGAGTTTTTGTCAGATCTGGTTACTGGAGATGAATCATGGATTTATTACGAGAACGATACACGTCGTGCTTTTTGGCTGCCTCGAGAAGAAACGCCACCAACTCAACCGAAGCCGAGTCAAAAGAACCGCCGAAAAATTCTGCTTTGCTGTTTCTGGGATGCGCAAGGCATACTGTTTTATGAGCTATTACACAATGAAACTATAAACGCTGACAAATATTCAACCCAGCTTACCAAATTATCTGCCGCTATCAAGAAAAAACGACGAAGACGAGTCAATGTAGTTTTACTGCACTATAATTCTCGACCTCACGTCGCATCTGTGGTTCGCCGGCAGTTGGAGAACTTGGGCTGGGAGACCATACCCCACCCACCTTAATCCCCAGACCTCGCCCCATCAGACTATCATTTGTTTAGAGCCCTGAAACAGCATTTGCGGGGTAAACAATTTAATGATTTCTCTGACGTAGAGGCGGAGTTGAACAACTTTTTCGAGGCACAGCCATCAGAGTTCTGGGCAAAAGGCATCCAAACTTTGCCGGATCGTTGGCAAGAAGTCTTAGATACTAATTGTAATTACATCATTGACTAAACTTTTTTTATTGTTATAATAATAAAAAAGTAAAAACTTAAACCAAGTGTCTCATTACTTTTGTGCCAACCCGATATGTATATTTTTATTGATTGAAATTTCGCACGTCACATCTTTGCACATTTTCTACATATTTGTGACGTAGCGAGCCCCCATTCCCAAACTTATGCCTATCTTATTATAAGGTATCCGATTATATTACAGACTAGCTGTGCCCGCGACTTCGTCTACGTGGGAAGTATTTTGGTAGAATTCGTTTTTCCTATGAATGGAGTCGAATCGAATAAGATCAATGGGCCATAACCCACTATGCGGGCTTAATGCGGATCGGTGGGTGTTAACGTTGCAGCCAGGACTAACGGCTTAACGTGCATTGTGCCAGTGTTGTGCACAGTGCTCAAGATAATAATGTTTTGGTCACCCATCCTGTGAACGGTCCTTACGAATGTTATTTTCCTATCTTTTTTCTTGTTTCCCGCGCTTTGGTTATCGCTTGTGTCTTTAAATTGTCCTTCTTTTGTTTTTGACCTTTTTAAATTATTATTATTTGTCTGGTTGTATCACAATCAATCAGCTATTTATTGTTCTATTTTCCATGTAATGCTGGAAGGTTGCCTGGAAGAAATCGCTGGCTAGCATTGAGTTTGTCGTTTGTACTTAGTTATACAAAATAAGTATTCATGGATGTCCTTGTTCTGCAGTATTCAAATCAAATCAAATAATTTATTGGCCATATAACTCAGAAGGTTACACTCGGCAAGTCTTTTACAATAAGCATATTAAATTAAAAATAAAGGTTTAAATCATACAGGTCAAATCATTGTAAGTAGGAATGTCAAATAAATTAAGTATCTTAACAATGTCAAAATGGTTATTTTTCCGATCCTTAATAATCAATTATATCACAGTCAATTAAATTACAACATAACAAATTAGATTATACAAACATAGCTTATATATAATTTTATGTCATAAAATATTGATGATTATTATATCTTGTCATCTACCACAGAGATCTAGTCAATTTCGTATCTCACCCATCATTATGTAGGAATGAATATTCATCCAAATGCATAGACATAAATTCATTTAAAGAGTATAAGGAATGCTGAATAAAAAAAAAATTAATTGTTCTTTCGAATTCGTCATCATTCATGTTTTTGATACTGAGGGGAAGTTTATTATACATTATAATTTTATTATACATGCCTTGTTTTGTACCTTTGCCAATCTTGTTTTAGGCAAACACAATCGTTCTTTATTACGTAAATTATAGCTATGGATGTCCATCTTTCTCAAATGTGAATCCCGATCATGGTGTATTTCTATTAAACACTTATAAATGTATAAAGAAATAATTGTCATTATTTTATTTTGTTTAAAATAAGGTTTGGCTGACTTACGCTTGCGCAAACCATTTATAATTCGTAATTACCTTTTTTGGCATTTTAGTACACTAGATAATAGATTTATATCAGAAGCATTTCCCCAGACTGTCACCGCATTACTTAATAGGGAGTGCACATAAGCATAATACACTGTCATTAATGTTTTTTTATTGGTTACGGGCTTCAGTTTTTGTAGTGCGTAGTTTGCACTGGCTAGTTTTTTGCATAGCTTGTTTATATGATAAGAGAGGCTCACAGTATGGTCTAAGGTATAACCTAGAAAAGTATTATTTGTAAGAAGTACGTTCTCAGATAGCCGTTTTCTAATCTGATAATGCATTATTGTACTTTTATTAGCATTCAGTAATATGCCATTAGCCTGAAACCATTCCTTCAAAATATCCACAGCTATCTCAATTTTTTGCTCGAGTTTATTTTGCGACTTGTCCTTTATTCCGAGATGAGTATCATCAGCAAATAAGCTGGTGAATGCCCACTCAGGGACCGAGTTTACTAAGTCATTTATATATATTAAAATAAATAGCACTGGCCCTAAAATCGAGCCTTGTGGCACCCCTATATCAATGTCTCTTAAATCTGAAGATACACCATTTACTATTATATTTACTTACTTATTTAACTGCAATTTAAGCCGAATGCACTACGCCATCGGACCTCTTATACCTAAGCTATACTAATATTATAAAGAGGAAAGATTTGCTTCAAAACTACTGGACCGATAGTTTCAGAGCGATTGCGACCTACGGGAAGCTACATAAGACGCGGATGTCTTAGGCTATAATTTTCCGGCAAAGTCGCTGTAAAACAGCTTGTTCATTATACCCTGTCAAAACTTATCTGCGGTACGCCTTTGGAGTATGAAGGCAACACGGATTGGCGATAATAGAAACTACTTTCTCGATCTCTATTGTGCAAACTGCGAGCACTTTCAGAAACCAAGCGCATTTCTCTATCAAAGGAAGTTTCATACTCATACCATACTGCACGTATATTACGATCAGCAGTTAGACGCACTATGCCATCTTCAGAAGTTTCCTGAGATCAAACGCTTGTTGTATGAGTTCTCTGAGAGCTCAAGAGATTGTCCCTGCTGGTAAATGCTTCAGGTTCAACTTTATAGTGCATGAGCCTTGCGATGGGCAGTTTAACACGCTTCGCGTGTTTCAGGTGTCTCCCGAGACCGAGAGATTTCCGTCCGATCTCTTTCTTTGTCAAAAAATATCAGTCGCTACATGTCTGACGGAAGATACGTGAAGATATATTTATTGATATAAAAAAATATATACATATTTTAATTTCGACTTTCCACACTCGAAGAAAATCGTGTATCAACACATACTTCCGAGAAGTGCTTAACTGAGCATTCTGTCAGATTTGAACGACCCATCATCATCCTCATCAGCCCTTTTACGTCGCCAACTGCAGGATCTCAGGCCTTCCTTATGGATGGTTAAGGAGGATGTGCCACTACCTTCCATGCTGGCCCATTACAGATTGGAGGATATTAACGACTGAAAATACAACCGGA